ATTCTGAGTGGAGCTGGAGTGAAGGCCAGGCCTTAGCTGCTACAGGGATCATTGATGGGTTGGATGGGCTGGTTTTCACAGTTCGGGCTCGGCGCTCCGACCTCACTCTGACGTCCCCTTGGTTAGACGGGGTCTCTCACCTCGTTTATGTACAGAGCACTGCGGGACTCCTGGGGTCCCTGAACAGTGAGAGATGGGGGAGGGCAGCCCCATTTCTGTGCCAGGTGTCTCACGGTCTAGGTGTTAGCTGGCTGTGAGACTATCTCTGCTGTGGACAACTAAGGGCCGATGAGATACTTCTAAGTATTATAATCACTACCTGTCCCATTCTTTGAAAAATTGCCAGAGCGTGTGTGACATTGCTAGAGACAGAGATAGAGAGACAGAGAGAGTGAGAAAGCATTCCTCATGGGGGGTGGTCAGGCTACAGTCCCTGCTCCTCCATTCGGGATTCTGGGCACACACACACACAACTCCAGCTTGTTTCTTAGGCTGTCAGGTCCAGGACTCGAGCTGCAAGGTCAGCCACGTGGGATCCAGCCACCCCGCTGTGGGCTGTCATGTTTTAATGAGCTCCTTTAAGGTACAGAAGTAAATCCTGGACCAGGTAACACCATTACCCAGTGCTCTGGGAGATAGCCACGTGGGAGGTTCCCGGTTTGCATCTGGAGATGCCCTGAATAGCCAGGATATGCACATGGCTGTGGATCACTGTGAGGACCCCATGGGGGTACCCGTCTGTCTGCCTCACTCTCTCTCCCTTTCTTTCTTTTGTTTATGGAAAAAAGGATGCAACTTAGAAAATAAAGAAATTGGCTTATCACCCAAAGCGGACATTTCTTCTTCTTCTTTAAACATTTGTCTGTTTATTTGTTGTGATTTCAAGCCACTGGGTCCAGGACGCAGACCGCTGTGGGCCATGTGGAAATCCAACACCTTAACCACCACACCACCTGCTGGCCACAGCAGACATCTCTTCTACAAATGGTAGATGGGTCATTATCAAAACAAAGCTGGAGAATGTTTGCTTTTCCTGACTTTCTGACTTTGAGATTGTGCTTCGTTTTTAGAAACGCATTATAGGAACATACAGCAATTCTGGTTTGCTCAAGTAATCACCCGTTTGACACTGGTTCTCCAACGCCAAATCCTTCCAAAGGAAATGTCTTCAGGAGATGTTTGGTGGCCGTTTGGAGTTGCATTGTTTCCAGTGGCCGTGGTGTCAGTGAGAAAGCTCAGACCTTTTCTGCAGGCACAGAACACCAGGTGGGCTCACAAGCTCCTCCTGTGCCCTGCAGTCACAAGGACAGCAGCCCCGTTTAGTCCAGTGTGGGCTTGTCAGTTTCACTTTCATTCATTCTTGTGTTTATTTATCTCTTGCCCATTGAAGCACATTCATTCATCCATTTGACAAACACTTGTCACATGCGGCATCACTGCCCAATAGGCTTCTGGAAATTATTGGGTTCCCAGACCACAGACGGGAGCCCCAGGACTGGGGGTCCAGCTGAGAGGAGAACGGAGACTCTAGTCCATGTCCAGAACAGAAGGGTGCTCAGGAGCCTCGTCTGCAAAACTGATGAGTATACTTGTACTAAAACAAAGCTGCTCAGGCCCATTATGTCAGCACAGTGGTAAGGCGATGCTCAGCAGTGCTGAACGCACATGGGAAAGTTCCAGGTTCACATACCCAGGCCTCCGTGGGCACGCCCAGTGCACACACGTGTTCGTGATCCTGGTTGGCTGAGGCCGGAGGGGTCGTGCTGTGAATACTCTGCTGGGGGTGCTTGTCTTCCTCGCTCTTGGTCTTTGTCTGTGAAGAAATAAATTAATGAACTAAACACACAAAGAAGCAATTTTTCCTTTTGCGGCAACATGGTACATAGCAAGAGTGGGAATTTAAGAACTATACAAGCCCATGTTGAATCTGGCCCCTGTAATGTCCTAACTGTGGCATTTCAGGGATTTCTTTGGAGCTTCAGTTGGTCTTTAAATGGAGCTGTCATTTCTACTTGGTGGGACTGAGTGAGGATTAAGGATAAAACGTGCAGTATAAAAAAAAAAAACCCTGCAGTATAGGGGCCAGCAGGTGGCGTGGTGGTGAAAGCACTGGACTCCCACATAGCATACGGCAGTTCAAGTCCTGGACTTGGTGACTTGCTTTCTCACTCCCTGCCCTCCCCACCCTGCCCAACATACACACTGGCCTCTCTTTGGTCGAATTAAAAACATGTATAAATTAAATTCATTTTTTTAATGCAGCATAATCTGTGCACTGAAGCAATATGTCCACTTCCTTTTCTCTTTCCTCGCTCGTAAGATGGTTTAGGGACAGATTACTGCAACGCCTGGTCTCCTTGTGAATAGACAAACCTCACTGTCATCCTGGCGCGCTGTGGGGCTCTCCTTTGTGGGCGGTCACCATGAGCAGCGCCTCAGTGCCAGAACATGGTGGCACCTGGGTTCCAGGTAGCCCGCGTCCCAGCGTCTCCAGAGACTCGCTTTTCTCCATGCGGCTGGTGCCTGCAGCTCCCGTGGCATGGCCCAGAGAGAACCTCTCACCCAGGCAGGCACTCCACGGCTGCCATTGTTCCACTGCCAAACTGGTGACCTTTGGGGAATTTGGAGAGTGACTGCTCTGTAGGGGGAAGGAGACAAAGACATCCAAGAGGAAGCTTTGTATGTAAAGGGGCCTTTATTTTTGCGGGTGGAGCTGGGTTTAGATTGTGCGCACCCTTCACATTTCTGAGGGTGTGGGTGAGAGTCCTAGGAGATTTAATTAGTTCCTTGAGAGGTGCTGAGGTTTGTGACATGGGGAGGCCCATTTTCTTCTGTCGTCCCTTCCAGGGGCCCCTGGCAATGACATTTCTGAAAGACAGAGGCTGTTGCCATGGACAGAATTGTATGGATCTTTGAATTTAGTTGAGCAACTTGGTGGAGTTTTATTTTGTTGTGGAGTTTTATTTTGTGGAAAGAGAAAGCGATACTATAAATCCGGGCAGAGAAGAGGCCACGTGGGGTCTCTCGGGTGCTCTCCTGGGCACTGGAGAGACAAAGTGACAACCCCTCGGGAGATGAGGACACACGGGACAACAGATGGAATGGTCTGTCGCTGTTAAGACCTAACTCATCTCAAATGAAATGTCTTACTTTTGCGTTTTCGTATGCATGCTCTGACGGGATACCTGGGAGTGTGTGGAGCCAAAGGGAAGGCTTTGAAGACGTTTTTGCTATTGGCAGGATTCAAATTCAGCATCTGTGTAGGTTGAACATCCCTAACCCAAGAATCTAAAATCCGAGATGCCCCAAAATCCACAACTTTTTGAGTGCCAATATGACGCCACAGTGCAAAATCCCCCACGTGACCTATTGTAATGGGTCACAGTTAAACTGCACGTATGTGGCCGTATTTATCTCTGTACCTCATAACATTTTGTAAGCTTCCAATATACACAATAAAATTTATTTTTAGAAAGTAAGTACACACACACACACACATATGTAGTATAAAGTTACCTGAAGGCTGTGTGCACATGACACGTAAATGGGTATTGTGTTTAGACTTGGGTCCTATCCCCAAGATGTCTCATTGCATGTATGTAATATTCCCAAATCCAAGAAGTCCAAAATCCATGACATTTCTGCTCCCAAGCATTTCAGGTAAGGGATATGGAATCTGCACTCGTTTCATCAGGTGTTATGATCTCAGAATTCGCCTACAAGACCTGACAGCCTTTTCCCACCTTGCTTACCAAACCGACTCCTGGTGTATGTGTCTAGTCATGTCTTCCATTAATATTTATCGAGCGCCCCCTGAGCAAGGTGGTGAGGAATAAGGAAACGAATCAAAACATTCCAGTTAGCCTCAAAAAGCTGGCCATCTGCTGGGAGATAGCAGTGAAAAATTTAAACACAAGGCTCAAAATCGTGAGTTTCTGTCTTATGAATCAAGTGATGGTGGGCTGGAGTGGGTAGAAAACTTGCTTCCTTCTGAGGGAGCCAGGGAAAGACAGGAGACGAGATGTATCTGAGCAGGACTTGGAATGACTGGAGGCTTTCTCCTACCTCTGCACTGGGCGACACCCCTACTCCCTCCCCAGGTCGGCTCTGTGCGTGGCAGTGCTTGAACCTCGTCCTTGGTCTGCTCTCTGCTCTCACTCTCCCTTTCCTTCCCCCTTCTCCAGCACCATAAATCCAGATGCAGTGGGCAACCTTTTTTTTCCCTTAAAGAAAATGGCTGGAAGAATCTGGAAAATCCTAGGTCAGCGTTGGTATAGTTGCAGGTGGACATTTTCTAGATTGCAGCCACAATCATGTCCACAAGAGCTTTCGCCGAGCTCTGCCGGTGACTCGGGCCCTGCTAGGGGTGGCACAGCAGTAACACCCCCATGGGAGGGTCCTGGGGTTGCACCTTGAGACCTCCCTGAGCGTGAAGCACCAGCACTCGCGCTCATAATCGGGCCAGCCGAGATGTGAGGTAGCTCAGCCCGCAGC